ACCCATACACGTACCTATCGTCCAAATACAATTACACATATTCTCTAGAAGATATTCACAAAGGCCAGCTTTTACTTAAAAGTAGACACACTCACACATAGACGAGGACACACAAAGGACCCACTTCTGGGTCTACTTTCGCATTTACCTTTTGTAAATTAAGTCATATGGACGGTACGTTTGGATTGCTACGCTCTATGGTTGGTCGGGCGGTCGGTCGGTCGCTCAGCAGCTAAGACCAGGTTCTGTTGACTAAAACCTCTGTAACACAGCCACATTTACCCAAGGGACTTCGGGACAAACAAACAAGCAGACGTACGTATTTATATTCACATTCCAAACAACAATAGACAATTACATATGTACGAATTTGCTTTGGCTATCTGTTAAATACTTAACCGAAAATGGACTTGCAACAGTATTCATGTGCACATGTATACATTTAGTACTACTACTTGGCTGTGGGGTCGGTCTAACTGTCTGTTCTTTGCCAACTGACCATATGTGTAACAGTGTAGCACTCTCTCGGAAAGGAGTGGAGCGCAGTGGCGCTTATTTCAAACCCATCAGCCATCGTCCTTTGGCAAATTTCAATTTACATATGGATATTTATATGAGCTTGTCTGTTTGCTACTTCTACACCTACTTCTTTCTGCTCGCTTTCTGCAGTGGACGATTAAAACAGTCATATTGCGAATGCGAATGGTGTAAAAATGTCCGAGACAAAAGAGAATTATAAATTAATCAACCTTTTTCCATTGTCTCTGCCAGTGTTGCTGTCGCTTCTGCTGCAGGCTGGATTTTAACATCACCACACCTTACGTACGGGCTATCTGCCCGAGTAAATGTGTCCGCTATGTTGCCCCCTTAAGGGATGGCTGCTTGTTTGGTTGGTTGGTAATTGCTTGTAGCAAATTTGCATGCACAATGTCGGTATCTAAGGATTAATGTTATTTATATACATATCAGCATGTATATGTATGTGGTGTTTAATTTATTTAAAATCCTTAGATAGATTTTAGTATTTCAATGTTATTACTATAAAATGAAATTAATTAGGCATGAAGTTTCAAGGCATATTTCTAAATGGAAAATGGATTTAATAAATAAGCTCTATTACGGGATTATTACTCAGGTAGCCAGATGTCCCACAAGAAGAATTAGAATTAAAGGTATAAGTAAAATTGTTGGCCACTAAGTAAATACACAGATAGTCTGCAATATAAAATAATGAGTTTTAAGTCAAGATGGAATATAAAAATGTATATCGGATTTATTAAGTCTAACCTAAAGGTATTTCAGAAATATAGATTTGTAACCAAAAACCTTTTCCCAATGATATGTAGTAGGCATTATTTTACATATTTAATTTGTATATCATAGAATTCTTATATAAAATGTCAACCGAATTTGTATATTATTGATTAATATTGGCATAGACAGATTCGAATTTTTTTGCTTAAGATTTTTCTAATATAATAATTAATAGTCCACTAAACAAAAATTCCATATAGTCTCAAAAAAAGTACTATAAATCTCAATACCAAGCTCCAGACCAAAACTATCTTTAAGTGTTCGCAACATTAATATACAATTACACTGTTAACCTACATCTATATTTACAACTAACTACTTACATCAGTTGCCGCCAGATCAACCGAAAAGTTTCTGTGTAATTGTTCTATCAATTTCTAAATATACCGATTATGACATTGTCATAAATAATTTTCAAAGAACTTATGAAACTAACAATTTACTGATTGACCATTTTGATTTGTAATTCCACCCCTCATCCAAAGCATACAGACATATAACATATCCTTAGTTCTCTTAGATTGGGTATTTTTGTCTACTCATCAGACAAGCAAAGTTGTATAAACAGAAAAAAGATACATAAACACATATCGTATATAAACGGGGTATAGTAACTAGTTATATACATTAGGGTGTACAAGAAAATATCACATACCTAACCAAACAAATGAAAATATCGTTAAGATTGGCAGCCAGACACTGAGGTTGAAAAATATGCCTAAGACCATGAACATAGCTTAAATGGGCGGGACCTATATTGGGGATAGACATACATTGAATATTTTCTTTGAAGAAGTTTTGAAATCCAAGAACACGGAATGTAAAATTAATCCCATTTTTTGCATTCGGTGAAAAATGTATTAACCCCCTCTTTTATGGGACCGGTATACCCCAGGATTAATATCGAACATTGTAGAAGAATTGGCAATGTAACTGGAAAATCTTAGATCTGTATTCTTATCAAGAAAATATAGTTTATCGGTCTCTGTTGAATATTTCGATGCGTTACTAACAGAATGAAAATTTTAATATAATAAAAAGTGTTAATGAAACACACTAATAATCTCGGGCAGCAATGATACCCAAACCATGTTTTTTTTTTTAAGACAACCTACTTACCGGAACGCACAAAAGCGCCGATGGGATTCCAGCTTCTGCATGACGTCGGAGAATTCACACACTTTCCACTTTATTTATTTTGGTTTTTTTTTCGCTTAATTATGTTGATGTTGTTCTTTAATTTTTGTTATCACAGCTTTATAATGTTCATTTATAAATTATTTTTTATGTTCACTGCATATAATTCAATAACAAATTCTACGAACACCTCCATCCTCTCCGTTCGAACTTTAAAAACTAACAATAATCAAATTACAATTGTCGATCTATCAAAAGAATGATAGATCAAAACAAAACTAAAACAAACGGGATGTATCAACAGTTATTGATGGCAAAGCCGTGTTCACGTGCACATGCAGACCAGGGTTGGGACTTTAATTTTGCCATGCCTAAGACAGCTTTGATTTGCTTCTAAAATAAAAATACTGAAACATTTAAATTTGTATTATTATTAAATTAAAAAAAATCATATTCATTACACCCTCATATTTCATTATGTTTGTCAAGTTCTGTATAAAGACCATAACAAATTATATAAGTATGTCCATGTGCGTGTAATTGCACAGTTCAATACATATCATAACTATTCTCCTTCAAAATACTTTGGCAAACTACAACTCAGCACAAAAACAGACAGCCTACAATAAATACTAAACGCAAACAACAAGAACAACAACACTTGCTCCCTCGCCACTTTGTTCGGATATTCGTGCAAACAAGAAACTAGACGACTGACTGACCCTTATAAAATGTTTCATAAATGAAGGAATTTCTATTTAATATTTATGTTAAAATGAAATGTCAACATCAGCATTTACTCTCCATTTTTACAATCAATTCATATTGACAATAAAATGTTTTACGATTTTTTTTCTTTCTTCCTTCGATGTCCACTGCTAGAGTAGTTTGTTTCTCCGTAGCGTATTGTATGTTATTGTTGTTGAAATATAATGGTAAACTATTTGCAGCAAAATTTTTACATCGAGGCTAGGCTGATAATGTTAGGCATTTTCAGAATTCGAGTACGAAGAAACTTAGGTTTAAACCCGTTTTAAATAATTCAAGTAGGATGCCAAGAGGGCAGCTAATCACAAAATGGATGCAGAAATGTTTAAGGTCATTGGTATTAAATACAATCAAAATCGCTTATTTCGAGGTCTAGGGACAGGCGGAATTAGTCGCTGTAAGTCGATAGTAGTTATAAGCATTACCAAATAAAAAGCAAACCTTATCTCGGGTCTTTTATATACCGTCGATTTAACCAATATGTCGATAAAAACGAAGTCGTATAATAAACGTCCGATTTTATTAATCTAGTATAGAAGACAATGCCTAGGTCCAATGTTACAATACGGAATTTCTCCTACATACTTAAGTATAAAAATACTTTCCCTATATGCATCTTAAGCTTAATAAATTATCCTTAATAATGATACACTTTCAATCGTAAAAACTATTGCCAAAATTTTCATAAACCCCTCCTCGAAAATAACTTCATGCTTTCATTCCTCTGCAAGTATAAAATAACTATAACAAAAACGAAACAAACATACAATATGTACGTATGTATGTAGCCAACTAGAGTATAATTGTCGGATAGTTTCATTATTTAAGATGACATTTGACGTTGATGTCATCTACAAAGTATAAGCCAATGTTTGGTTATTGTCGTATTAAGCCCATACATACACATACAACGATATATAGCGAGGTCTGCATGTCAACTTTGTACAAATTTTCGAAAGATGTCATTTAGCCTTTATGTCAAATCATCTATCAACAACCAATACAGGAAGTTCTACAGCTATAAATGCCAATGACAACAATTTACAAAAATAAAATAAAAAGCAAAATAAACTCGATCCTTTAGCGACATTTGCTAAAGAAAGCAGGACAATAAAAATTGAAATAAATGAATCTGTGACATTAGGATCAGCCTTCAATGGAAAATTTTTATCGAAACATTTAATAGTACGTGGGTGTACATAAATGACATCTATCAGCAATATGCTTCGGCATATTTCGAAACAATTCGATTTTTAGTTTTCAAAATGTAAAAGGCATAAATATATAAGAATTGGCGATAGTCCACAACAAAATATCGGACCTTAAAGGGTAAATGTATTTATTAATTGAAATTCCCAACTTGACACATGGAGAACCTGCTAGAATAAAATACATATGATTTTTAGTTAGCATAAAATTCAATTTTAATTTGCCAAACCACAATGAGGAAAAACAACAAGGAATTTACTTAACTCATTTCCAGTTTTCCCTAATTAATTAAGAAATAAAAATCAACGATTTTAATATAAAAATCAACAAATACAAATTGTTCACTACCCTAATATTCCCACAGAACATTTACGCTAGAATGTATACAAATCACAAAATATTCCGCTTGTCAAATGTTATCATTTGTTTTAATAAGGGTAGAATAGATTATGGACTTGTAATATTTATGGCAACAGACCAATTACAATAATTAACTTCATGGAATACCACAAGAATACGACAAGCAACATATACACATTTATTTCAATACAAAGCATACAATGACAATAAATTTAAGAAAAAAGACGTCTAAACAATCTTATGGTAAAATAGAAAATTACTTCCGTAAAACTTAAAGCACTGCAACCCAAAAAGAAGCCCACCAAGCCGCCAATATACACTGACAAAGACAAAACAAACAAATGTTATTATTACTTCCTTTAGATTACAAATACAATTAATTACCCAATACATCAGCAAAGGAGAAGAGCACATCGCGGCGCAATTGCATTTTGGGATAGTCAATAATACCCCATTGTAAATTGGCTCCCAAAAACCAGACGCGAGAACGCTGAAATTCGTAACATTTAGTCCTACTCAAGTACAACAATATGAAACTTACGTAGGATTGGACAAAAAAGTTCGAATCATCGCAGTTGGCCAGACAATTGCAATTGATTTTATGCTTTATGGATTTTAAGGATATCATTTCATCTATAAATAAAAAATAATAACAATTAAAAACTGAATAGTATTTTTATTACCTTGATACCCACTTTTCAAACTAGCCACACAGGCCAAACCTCGCAGACCACAGATAGGTAAAACTCGACCATTCCTTACTGTAAATATATAGAGAAATAATAACTTAAGCCTTTTGTTGTGAGAAGAGAAACTTACATCGATTCCGATAGAAATGTGGCACACAATTACACACTTTCAAGGCCAAAAACATGCGGCACTCAGCCATACACATACCAAAACTATAGACCGGAACGGTAAGCATATCTTCAGCCTCGAATATGAAACGACATTTGCGTTGCTTGGTAGAGAATCTTAAAAACGAAAAAATCAATTATCAAATGATCATCTATAAAATATACATTCTTACGCTTTAGCCGCATCCGCAGTATAAATCTCCAATGCTATCAATTCCACTGTTGTATAATCGGTTTCAGGAAATGTATAACGTTGTTTGGTTATACTTGGTATATCTCCAGCACTGTGGAAGAAAACATCGTAGGCGGTTGAGAGATTAATAATTTGAGCATATATCTCTCCATCCAACGGATGTACGGTCACCCGAGCCCCATGATGCAAAAGATTCCATTGATTACTTTTCCAATATTCGTATGAATTGTAACGTGCCACCAAACTGTTTACCGAATGGCAGGTACCAAATTCAGTTTGTGTTTCATAGATAAACATTTTCACGGCAGCACCGCTGCTTATCTCCGGTTCGAAATGCCATTTTAGTTCGTAGAGCAAATCCAAATATTGGTCGCTCTCAATGCCATATGAATTGTTCAGAGGTAATTGATCAATATTTTCATAAGAGAGATGTGCCAACTTATCAATGAAAATCTTAAAGCCTTCTTTATCCTCTTCATTGACAAATACGTCAGGATGGGAACTGTCGTAAATCAATATTAAAAAATTAATAATCATTTATTCTTAAAGGCCTTTCATTCTCTGCTTTCTCTAATTTAGAGAGAAATCGGAATTTTTCATAAGATATTGGTCAATTACAGTTTTTATACAACCCACAGAAATATATTGACAATAATAATGCTTTATACTGAACATTTGTTAAAAATAAGATTACAGATATTTAAAATATCTAAAATAAATTAAAATTGTTCAGTGTTGTGCGCATAAATTAAAACGCCCTCATAAATTTTTTGAAATTTTTTCAGTAAAACAGCCCCACATAAGTTCACAACTTTCAAACATAATGAATTTCAATAATTGCTACAACTTATAAATCTGATCAATGAAATAATAAAGTGCATGTAATTTAGATAATTAAACTCGTCGTTATCAATAAACAAATATTTCCATGTAATGTCACTTTAATACCCAGTCAATATCATACATTTACAATTTACATTGATTGTCGTCCACTGGTCATATGCCCTTCAAAAGGATTTGCTATACAATATTCAACTCCTACCCTCCAAAAAATAAAAAATAAAATAAGCTAGCTTATAAAAACCTATAAATTTTAATCCACTCTCAATTCGTTGCCTGCTGCATTGTGGTTGATTTTGTGGGCATGTTGGCTAAAGGACAAACTATCAAACAAAATCATTGCCGCCGCCACTACAGTCATACACTGCCAACCACATGATCTACTATGGTTTCGGTTGGGTGGGAAGCGAACTGTAGTGAAGTGCACATGTATCCAGACCACTGTTGTTCCAACGCAGTTACATACTTACATAATGTATTCCTCGACTTTAAGCTCATCGATGCGTTTGTGGGGACACACTGTCAGTGATGGAAAGCTGGTATTCCAAACCAATTTATTGCGATCCATTGAGATAACCATTGGTGATGTTTGGAAACGATGCCAGGTGCGACGGCTAAGCGATATAATGCTAAATATTGCCACACAGATAAATGCAAACCACAATGTCCTAGAAAAAAAACAGAAAACAATACAGATAAATATATCGATTGGTCAAGACCAGGCCATATGTTATTCGTGAATATAGAAAACTTCAAAATTTAAAACAAATTACAAATAAAACAAGACTGTGCAGTATTTGTCGTTACCACTTCTGTAGTAAAATATTACTGTTATTTGTATGTGACTATGAATGTGACTTGGCATTTTTAAATAAATAGTAGATTTCACGGAACATTATAAGAATAACAGGCTTATATCATATTTCAATTCTTCATAATCTAAGCACTAACTAATATAAATAATAAATTTTGTTTTTTTTTTCTTATATTTTTCCTTGAACTTGATAAGATTTTATAGATAAAACATAACTGACAATTGTTGTTGTTGACCGTTCCAATACATCTTTAAAATTTGCAATTAATTTTCAAATAACTTCACTTTTTCCAATTCCTTACAGTTGTTGTTTAATTTCTCGAACTCTTAAAGTGTATGCGTGTGTTCATGTCATAATACCTTTCTATGAAACTTAATCCCATTTTCGCCAAATAGACAAAACCATGAATGGAGGAATTCAGCAGAAATTCGATAATAAACGAATGTGCCTTTGCCAATAAGCCGCTTCGACAACCAGAACCGCTTTGTTTGCTGTCATCAGCTGCAAGGACATCCACCTCAACGTCGTCATTATGAAGAAACGGAATTTTTGTTTTAGCGTTACGGTAATTGTTGACGTTTTCGTTGGTTTTAGTCTTTTCATAGTGGCCCATCCATAAAGGAGGTCGTCGTATGCGCCTTGCCGTTGTTATGTTGCGGTGATGAATGTTGCTGATGATATTGGTGTTGTTGTCACCATCATTATCGGAAACAGCAGCATGGTTTAAAAGCGACAGCTCTCGTCGCTTGGCTTGTCTCTGATTAAGAATTGTCTCATTTGGTGCTAGTCGTTTCTCATAGGGTTTAACATGCACAACATCCTGGTGCTGATATTTGACTTTGCAGTTGCCAGGAAACTGTTGCTGTTGTTGATTCTTCAAAGAGAATGGATTGGTGTTGGATTTCTGTGCAGATGTGTTGGTGGTGGTGCTGCTGTGTTCTTGAGGTTCCCGTAGTTGTTGCAGTAATTTCATGCTTGATGTTAAAGTCAAATCATCTTCGATGTTAGCATTGCTTTCAACGGGTTTCTGCTGAGTGTTAAATAAACCTTTGAATAATTTCAGCATGGTGCCAACAACGTTTTAATATTTTCGTTGTGAATAACGTAATGTATCAACTGCCGAACTAGAACTAAAATATATATAATTTCGTATTCTATTTTATAATCATTGCATAGTCACACATGTATCAAAAATAAAATAACAAACTCTCCCCAACCATTAATGTATTTTATTGCAATTGACCATTGTGTAAATGCTGTGAAACAAAACACCTGCGATAATTGCGGCCATGTAAATCTAATGATAAAATCTCTTAGATACTGAACATAGTTCCAAATAAAAAATAAGAAAAATTAAGGTAAATTCTTTTTTATGTATTTTTTGAATAAATTTAGGCTTTTCAACTATATTTTGCGCGATTCTCATTTCTCTACATCCATGCTTTCATTTTTATTATTATTCCAATTTAACAGAAATAAAAGGTTAATTTTCTCAAAAAAAGTAAAACATCAAATTTATTTCTTCTCCTCCATTAGTGGACATACAAAAGTAAATTGCCTTCATCTCTGATATCTCTACGCTGAACATGTGGCATATTCCACAAACCATATGACCATTATTGTTGGCGATTTAATTTTCGTTGATTGTCGTCCCATAATCTGCTCCTCCATAAAAAATGACAACATCATTGTTTTCCCGCCCATTACATTTAATGATGTTTGTTGTTAAACTATCATTACAACAACCTCTTCTGCCAAAGGATTTTCATTTATTTTTAATCAAACTTTATGGATTATTGCCATATTCTTTCAGTAATAAAAAGGATTTCAAAATGAACCAAACCAACAAGAACAACGAAACATGACACAGGCAGCGAAATGGACTGCGATGACGACTGTTTTACAAACACACATGTACACCACCAACAAACAATCCTTTAGAGCTATACGGGAAAATGAAACGCGAATTTTCTGCGCAAACCCAACACAACGATCCAGTTTGCTTAAGTTGTCTTTATGGCCGCACGAATGGACAATGGACATTTACTTTAAACCCGCTCTCTTCATTACCATTATTTAATTAACATAAAGCAAAGCCAAATGCAAGCAAAATGTTCCTTATAAAATGAAAAATAAAAACCCAGGAAGAGTAACTGAAATTACAGTAGCATTATCGTTTTGCAATTGTTAAATAAATTCCATACGTTGTCTGTAATCTAAGAAATGCCGTTCAAGAATTTATATAAACTGTTCATTGTAGTAAGATTTTGAGTCGGCTTCTATATTCGTCAAATTGAAACACACCTTTTCATGTTTCCTATTGTCCATCGACTGCTTGCGCCATTAATGAAAAAGGAAATGTGTTTGTTATTAACATTTCAGGATCAAGTCATTATTAAAAAGTTCTTACTTGTGAAGTATACAGTAGTTTAATAAAGACAATTCAGTATGTTTGTATTCCCTCGCTTTTGCGTCGGCCATCATTGCTAGTCATACAGCAGCATTAACATACATATTGACATGAAAGTATGCATCATGTAAGCCATATTATAATGATGGCCACCATTGCTGCTACTGCAGGTTTATAACCAACAAGAAAAAAAAGAAGAAAAAAACATTACTGCTTATTTGGAGAATAAGTTGATGGTGTAAAAATATGAAACAAAGTAATATGCTTGTGTTGGTCAAATATTAAAGCATTCCGTATAAAAATCAAAAATTACCTCCAAGATAAATATCATTAACTGAACAGTCAAAAAACCGACCGAGCATTTAATACACGTACTCAGAGTCGAATGTCCATCAATAATTCTTACAGCACCAAAATATTATTCTATAAAATCTAAATTTGTCCGACTAAATTACTATGCAGGCATATATAACAAGTCATTCATATTTAATTTATACCTTTATTATAATATATAATTTCCTATTCTTTGCTTGGCAATTGACGTCAAATTAGAAACTCCATGACCAATTTATATATAATGATGTGCAAAGAATTCATACATCATAGCTAATCTAAAACAAATTGTTAGAAATATATGTGATATTTTAAACATTTTTGATTAATATAATAATGCGGAATATTTTTTAAAAACTGTATTACGTTAAGACGACACAAATATCATAACGACTCTATAAACAAATTCATAAAAAAATTCAGATGCATTTCAAAATCTTCATATCACGTCTACTCAAAAATTATAAATTCTAATACACTTCATATTGAGTAGTTACAGAAGCATAGCATTTGATCCGTCGGTTATAATTGCCGTCATTTTCCCTTTCATGAGTAATTCTTAAACGATGGTGGTGGCCAAATTTGAGAATGTATATACCTTTGCCAAATAAATACATTTGTATGTCTATTATTTATACAAAACCATAATGTATAATTAAAATTACAACAGTCTTATTTGATTTATTTGCTAATTAACGAATGTACATTTGAGTAAAATAATTACAGTCGTGTTGAAATAGAAATCCTGAAATAAGTTCAAATAAACGATAATTCTCTGGTTAAAATAGTTTTATGTATAATTGTAGATATTAACTAATGTACATTATAGATTTACATAAAGGCGATCAACACAATTTAAAAGCAATAAATAAAAAACTAAAAGCTAGAAACGAAAATGTCTTAATTTCAAACTTTTTTTGTACGTCAACATGTTATGATCTTCTTAGCTTGGTATTTAATGATTTTTCTTTAAGCGACTTTGGTTTGCATCTTCTTTGTGGTCTCCTTCCAGAATTTTCCTTGGCATTTGGAGTACTACTGTTTCCATCATGAAAATTTTCTCTTGTTAAACTACCCAGAAAAATATCATGGGAATTGCTATGATCGCTTTCACCTAAATAAAAACAGTAGAATACTGTCGGTTAATAAGAAATGCAGTGCGACATGAGACACGACTTACTGTCATTGGAGAACAATGGCAATGATGTTGAGAAGCTATACACCCTTCCTGAACGTGTGCAGTGTCGTACCTCATCAACTTCAATATCGTTCTCAATGTGGTTTTGCGTACCTGTGGCTTCTCGGTATCTGCCTCTAGCTACAGTAACATGTTCCCTTGGTTGTGGATAACTTTCGTCTTCATTTGCCGATTGATCTATTGTATTTGTGACATCTCTTAATGTTCGTGAACGTGTTGCTAATGGAGTTGGTTCATTTTCATCGTCATAATTTGTATCAGTACTGTAGGCCAGCGACATATTTGTCATGTATTCACTTATATCTCTATGTGACGATTCTGTGTTACTAAAATTGCAATAAGAATTGACTTATGAATGTATCTACAAAATATAAATACAGATTACAATTATTACTTACGTTTCCTCAGGTGCATCACTAATATCTCCCTGTGACGGTTCTGATGATTCTGTGTTGCTAAATTTGTAATAAAAAAAGAGCATGAGTATGTCTAGAATATATTTATAGTTATGTAGACTACAATTGTCACTTACGTGTCCTCTTGGCCATCATTGGCTTCATTCTCGTTTTCTTCCGCAATTACACGCATATAATCATCAGCTCTTTAAATAATAAATAAACAATTATACAAATAATAAATTCACATATCTTTCTTACCTGTTTTCCTGCAATACTTCCTCTACTTCTGCCGGAGATCTGACTGGAGATGCAGAATTAAAGGATCTGGGTGTTTGTATTACAGAACTGGACCGCCTTGCTTCCTCCGCCAAGTAAGTACTTCTCCTTCCATTTCTTACAGTTTGTGTCCCATGCTTTAAGTATGACAGTATTGGTGAATCAGGATCCAGAATTTCCAATTGGTCTTGAAAAAAAGTTTTTAACAGCGAAGAGCACCTCGTTCTTATTCTGATGTTACTTGTCTCTGCCTCCATTAATTTGCTTCTCAGATGTACTACCTCCGTTTGAAATTCCGCCAATGTTTTTCGCATTAACTGGACCTCCTCAACGAGTTCCTTATTTAATGCCTTGTATTGACTGTCCATGTTATGTCAATATAAACGGGTAAACTCAAAAAGGAGATATTATTGAACCAATTTCAGAATTACCGCCGCAGAAGTAACTTTATCTGTTTTTGAAAAAGACGCCTTTAAAATAATTTATTTAATAAAATTTAATTAAAAAATTCCGTGCGATGGCTTCTATTGCGCGCAGTTACAAATGAGGAAGAACGAAAGAATGCCTGATAATGCCCATAGACAAATATTTACGAATGAAGTGTGATGAACATCGCATGAGACTACTTTATAATGAATACCAAGTAGTCGGTATACATAAATATTGTGTGATTGATTAGTCCACAGTGGTAAAGGAGACGTAACGTGAAAACTATATAATAAATTGCGGTCATATATATTACATATTTTATTTTTATTATTCTGACTTAACCTCATTAAAAACACAACAAATATTTCAGGGAAAGGAATAGCGTAGCTAAAAAAATATTTTTTTTTTTGTAAAATTTTCCCAATATGGGAAAATATTCACATGTGAATGTTGTTTTCGCGAGGCTATCCATTTCTTCACCCATTTCGTTCTTTTAATAACTTTTTTTCGCCAATTATTAAAAATGCACACCCAATTTTTTTGTTATCCATTTTTATTAATATATTAGTTTCTTACGGTGTCTTATTAGAACAATTTATAAATTTGAATGTCGGTTTGAAAAAGCCATGAATGATAATATGGCCGCTACAAACAACACAACAAAACTGTAAAGGGCCCCATACACTATAAATCATGCCGTCATGCCGATGAACCCCTTTTTGTATATGTGAGATTGACTAGTGTATAGCAAACTCTTCAATCACTATTCCAAAAAATCGATTTTTGCATTTTGAAATTGCATTTTGAGTCGTAAATTCAGTTGTTGTTTTATTCCGTCACAATTTTATTAATTTTGTACACAAAATTATTTATTGACAATTTTCAAAATGAATATTATTCACCAGATTGATAGGGGTTCATTTTCAAAATCAAAACTATTTTGATTTTCTTCGTGCATTGTGTGTGTCACACATACATAAATGAACTTTCAAAAAATAACACATACTATGATAAATGCTGTACGGCATGATGTATAGTGTATGGGGCCCTTAACAACCGATAAGTTATCGAAACTGTCACTTAAAAATGATAGTGTGTACCCCGCTTTAATATCTATTGTTTACAGATTTAGCTACCACTTTCGCCACATCAAAAACCATATCTGGCAAAGATGCAAATTGCATCAGCCTGCATAAATAATACCTGCATCTTTGCCAGATATGGTTTGTGGTGTGGCGAAAGTGGTATCTAAAACTGTAAACAATAGAGATTAAGATTGTGTTGATTCGTCATATAAGATAACAGACAACATATAAGACAAAAAATCAAATGTCGACTTTGCGATTTCCTCAAAGATTAAAAGTCGACTTCGACTTTTTGACTTTTCCATGATCCAATAAACAGGTCGTGCAAGAAGCAATCGTTATCGACAGTTTTGGATTAAAATCCCCAAGCTGTCAAATTTTTGGTTTACGTTTCCACACGATTAAGTCAAAAGTGAAACAGCTCGGGTGAAATCATCTGGTATTATCGGTCGACCTTATTATTCGACCATGGACTTTTCAATACAAAAATTCGATTAACCGATTAGTCGGTACCTATCCCTGATAGGTACTCCATCAAGAACGACATAATTAAAAAAGAAAGGAAATTTTAAACAAAAAGAGCAAAAATAGTGTAAAAGTAAATACGCGTATTGTATATGTGTTCAAACAAATGTTCAGGAAAAAGAAGCGATTTAAACATTAATAAAAGGCGTTTGTTGTGATTTAATGAGAACGTGAAAAGAAAATCAATTGTGAAAGGTGGCAAAAGAAGTGCAAGAAAAGAAAACGATATCAATATGAAAGGGAGGACTCAAGCCCACATATGTATGTGGATGATGTTGTGTTTGGTCGTGGATGCCACACACTTGCAGGGGTCCTTTGACACACAGGATTTCTTTAAGTTTCTCGTCAAATTCGGGTTTCAAAAAGCAGAGTCCCTGCGACCGCAGGATTCCTTTGGTTATATATATGGTAACATAACATCAGACAGTGATTTTCACCAGCCTGTGACACTGGCAGTGCTGGACAAATCAACGTTTGTGGATTTCTATCATAATCGCAGTTTGAGCATCTACGGGCGTGAGTTGGCCTGTCAGCATATGTTTAAGAACATCCAGTATTTGGCTTACGATCCAGATTGTAATGCCCATGGGAAGCGAGATTTTCTAAGACGAGTGCCATGCCCCAAGGGTCAATTGTGCCAGGATGAAGATGCACCCAGTAATGTTGTTGCAGGACATCAATTTACCTATGTCATCAGTGAAGTCGCGCAGCCAAGGTAAGAGCATTTGTTTGTTTGTTTTTTATTTAGCGATGGCCTTGAGGAGGGGATATGCGGTCGAACGGTATGGGCGGCGTTGGTGGTAGCTAAAAGCGATATGCCAATTGGCAAATGCATTTCTGAGGGTCGTTAGGGTTATTTGTCTGTTAATGTATCTCAGTCTGTTCAATATTATTGTGGCGTGTTAGAATTTGTTTCCTAACCCCTCACGTGTCCATAAAATCAAATCAAGGAGATGACAACAAACCCTAAGATAAGATAAGAAATGATTGTTGTAGATCTTCGGTGACAGGTTGTGGCCACGTAAGGTTGTTGGTATGAAAATTAAGAAAGTGAAGAGTTCTCTCAACATTCATTTCGCATTGTTTTGCGGCGGAGTACCAATAATGACGAAACTTGTTTATGGAATTTGGAAATAATTTTCTAGATGCACCATAAACATATATCTTCTTCATATATTATTAAATTCCAATTTGACTACAACCACAATTATACATATATTCCTTTTGAATATCAAAAGGTTAATCTTTGATATACAAATTTTCAAAATATTTATATTTGATTTCCTTTATATTATAAAAAAGCTTTTAAAGCTGGAAGCTTCTGTGAATATGTATGTTAAATGGCATTTTTGCCGAACTCAAAAGATCAGCACACGATCCATGTTGTTAGCATTCTGCTGTATTTCGGAATTTAACATTACGCTTGATTTAGCAGCCTCTACCTCGTATCGCTCGTCTCGATTTTTTTTTGTTATTTTTACAACGTTTTATATTTATCTGATACGAGAAAAGTTGATATTTGCGGAAGGAGAATTTCGTATGAAAAAAACAGATGTTTCGCAGAACTATAAGCAAAACAAGGAATGATGTCGTTGGCAAGTTGACAGTGACCAAAAACATGAACAAGATATCTAAAATTTTGTTAATCTATAAATTTTCAAAAGTTTATTATCAGTTGTTATTGGGTCTATATCTATTTACTTCAGAGTTGTTATGACAAAACAGTTATACAACTACAGTACGAAATATTAAATAAAAAATCTTCTCTCTGAGTCATAAAAAGTTATATTTACATACAAATAATATTCATTGCGATGATTGCTAATGAATATTACAAAAGTTGTTAGCAACAATGAGTTTAATTTTTGATTTCAAATCATTTTTTCGTGTATTTTAGCCATTACAATTGTAAAGTAAAGTATGTCTCGTGTTAAGTACAACTGTCCCATATACTAATATATTCGACGTTTTACCAAGTAAACTATAAAATTGGATATTTTGGATTCTCATCGTATCTAACACGTATGAAAAATTACCAGTATTGACCCATTTGATATTCTGTATTTTGTCGAAATGGCTGTGCTTTAGTAGTACTATCAACTACCTATATTGGTCTTCTTTTTGAAGTAACCCCAATATAATAATACCACACAAATGTCGGTATTTTGGGAGTTTAGGCACGTTTTTAGGTAAATTGGCTGTAATTTGTATATCTTAGATTCTCATTTGGTGCCAAATCTTTAGAAGATTTCACACAACCTGTCCTAGCCCATCTGAGAGATGTAGTTTGGTATTTTGTATTCACCTGAAAGTCCCCATTGATTTTTGGTATTTGGAATGTCCACACCATGGGCAAACATATTCCATCACAATACACAAATATGAATTTGGATGACGAAAATTCAGGCTAATTTTATCTTACGTTCAGGCGTCGTAAATAATTTTACTATTATTTTGAAGCCATCTTGATCAGGTTAGAAAATAAAATTGCATATAAAATATAAACGAATTAGAGATAAGTCAGCTTACTCACTTATTTTACTCAAATAAAAATATTTTTGTTATAGGTTTTGGTATATGGCCATTGTGGCTTGTTATCGCAATCGCACAACGTGTCAAGGGCACGCCTATGACACCCTAACAGCGCCGGCTTCGTTTTTAAATAACAGTATTTCCGTACTACACTATGACATACATGTTGTCAATGGTCATCCCAATACTTCGGATGACCACCCGCTTACGTATGAGTTCTCCTTCGATCAACAGAATCTTTTGGAAATGTATTTGATATTTCTATTGGTGTACATCGTTCTACTGCCCATGCAAATATACGCGGTGCGTTTGCAGAAACATCCTGTCACAAAGTTATTCACAATCAGTTTGCTAAGTGAGTTCGTAAGTTTAGTATTAATATCATCACATCTCATAAAGTATGCCAGCAATGGCAAGGGTTTGCCCCATCTGCAGGCATCGGGTGACATTTTAGATATATTTAGTAGGGTAAGTCCTTGGTGTTATCTTTATGTTGTTCTTATCACTATTTCATTTGTTCATGTTTTCTATAGACCACATTTATGTTAATACTTCTACTATTGGCCAAAGGTTGGGCTGTGACACGTCAACAAATTAGTCGTACAGGATGGATAATATTGATGAGTATATGGGTGCCCTATTGCGCTTTTCATGTGTTCCTCTACTACTGGAATAGAGTAAGTTTGTGTATTTAGCATTAGAATTTGTTTTTAATAAATTTATTTGAATGATTTTAGACGGAAGTTGATATAATTTCCGATGTGGACGAGTACCAAACATGGCCTGGATGGATAGTTCTCATTCTACGGTAGATATATTCTTTATTTTCTTTAGATTTACGTGTATCTGATACATCGTTTTATTTTAGCACAACGTTCATGCTATGGTTCCTATATGAACTACGCAATACAATGAAATATGAACATTCATCTAAAAAATTGGATTTCCTTTTACATCTGGGAGCATCAAGTCTGGTGTGGTTTATTTATCTTCCGATAGTAGCCATAGTAGCGTTACAGGTTAGCCCTATGTGGCGCTATAAATTATTGTTGGGTATAACAAATTCAGCGGATTGTCTGGCATATTGTGTCATGACGGGACTTCTGTGGCCAAATAGATCTGGACAGTATTTACTTTTGACTGGATCAAAGTATGCAGGTATGTGAATAATGACAACATCTCTTTAGTAATCTGCTTAATATTGTTGGGTTATTATTATTCTCTCAGGAATGGACGAACTAGATGAATTCAATGAAGCCCCACACATTGTGAGGGAACGTGAAAGAAGACAAAATTCTATTGACAATCCCGTAGTGGTGGTTACCAATTCCACCACAAATTATTCAACGAATCGGCCAAATGGTGATGCTTGCACCGACCTTTTAGAAGCGGAAGATTTAGATGCTGAGCTTCTAACGGACCTTAACAAGAATAGTCATATTGTGGCATAAGAAAATTGCCACACCACATTTAGGACGTATGTTTAAACTGCGCAATTACTACTGAATAGTGCTTATGATAATGGTTTTTATTATTGTATTGTGCGCACACCTCACACACAATACACCGTAATACAATAGTTAAAACTTTTTTGTATAAGCATTTGCCAAATGCTAAAATAACAGCGTGATAATCTTGTTTATAACTTGAGAATTTCTATTAATTATTATTTGTATAATTGAAATATTGTATACATAGTAATACTAGCGATATTAATTAATTATAATATAACATAAGCAACGAACATTTTCTAAGTTCAAAACATTCTACTTTAGTATCCATGTAAATTAACGTTGTATCCAGACTTTGTTTCGTTTTTCATTTTTTTTATTATTATTTTCATTCGCGGTTTCCATTTTACTCGTACTCCATTTTAAGTACATTCAATCGATAGCCATTATTTTTGTGATTTATGAAATGAGACACACAAAAACAAAACAAAAAAGAATATTTTAGTGTTATTATTAAAATTAATCTATGTATATTTTTTCTAAGAAAATATCATTGAATATGTTATACTTAAGTAACATCAACAAACTAACATTAAACGAAACGCTGCATACATTCATTAGTTTTTAGTGTATATTTCTATGTAAGATCTTTAAGGTTGGAATATTTTAAATTGAAAAATATCATTATAAAGATATGACAACTATTGATCGAGTCATATAGATTTTAAATGAACAAAAAGAAAAAAAAACCTAAAAATAAAAAGTAAAACAATTACAGAATTCTCTTGTTTTTAACTAATCTTTTTCTTGAATACAGACACAAAAAAGCATCTATATAGTACCTATAGAGTTTATAGTTTCAAAAGTCGTATATTACCTAATGATACAAATGTATATTTCTCTTTAAGAACGCTAAAGCATAGTATTGTAGCTGTGTTGACAAACTTATTAATATTTAATTCATATCGTGTGTGTTATTCTTATCGGTGTGATCTTCCTTAAACATTCCCAAAATAACAACGACGGTAAATACTTTTGAGCTCTTCAAAATGTTATTTACGTATTTAGTAATGTCACAGTCCACGTCGTTAACACTTAGTCCTATTCTCAAATACAGTTTTTATGTGGTTTTATTCATCACTCAGCTATTTGGACTTTTAAATTTGGCTTTCAATTTTAAAACAAAACGTATTTCACAAAATGGACTTTTCAACAAAATTTATTGTGCCATTCTACATGTACTTTATTGCGGGTTTCTACCCTACGCTGCCACTTCGTCCGACATCGACAACGCTGTTTACAAGAAAGAATCATTCTATATAAACTTAAATTATGCCATATCGATATTGAGATTGCCAGCAATTTTCCTTACCTTATGGGGTGTCTGGTGGCATAGCAATAATTTGTACCATGTTATTCAAGAGTTTGAAAAATTACGATTTGAAAATTTTCACAACCTGAAGGAATTTAAACGACGCGAAATACTCAAGAAGAATGATCGTTTGATTTGGCTAAAAATATTAACAACCAGCAGCTTGATGGTCATGTTTTATTTTCGAATATTTATGTTTGTTAAGGAACCCTCATTGATGTTTATTTTGTTGTCCGTATATTTCGGTTGTTTGGAGTGTTTAACCGTTTACACCATGAATTTCTTTTTTTGTGGCATATGCTATGTCAATTGTTCGGTACATTTTGTCAAAGAAACATTGGATGAACTTCAAGGTGACACAATTTCACTTCGAATACACCATTTATCAAAAGTGTTTGGGCAAATATGTAAAGCAAGTGAGAAATTGTTTACAATTTTCCAATGGCAAATATTGGCCATATTACTGGCAGCAATGATTGCCCTGATTGCTTTATTTTTCAACATGCTGATATTGTGGATGAGTACATCTTTGAATGCATTGCAATATCCCGTAATAATTGTTACCCTTCAAGTAGCCTTTATAAATATGGGAGAAATATTTGTAACGACGTACGTTGTTAGTGATATGAAGACGTGTTTAAGGGATATACATAGAACTTTGTTGGAACTTAGGTTTAAGTATATTTCATGCAATGGCAATATGCTGAATAATGTTGTGAGTATACAAAGTTTGCTTGAATCAATGGTTAATTGTAATATTTTGTTTTTTTTTAGATGGACATGTTTTCTCTTCAAATATCCACTTGTGGGCCGCGCCCAAATCTTTGTGGATTTTTCGATTTTGATATGCGTATAGCAATACGATTTTTACAAACCATGTTAATACATTTGATAATATTGGTACAATATCATTTTAGAAATGTTAGAATTTAATAAATTTTCATTTCTAGAAAAGATGAGTGAATGTTTTTTTATTTGTCTGACAAACTTTTCTATTTAATCCTGGTTTTTATTAATCATGATTATATCCTCCAACATAAGATCGAAGACCCCAGAAAGAATATATGCCAGGTAAGAATAAAATTCTATGTTGAATTCGATAGCAATATGTATGAAATTTGGCATTCCGGGGTCATGAAGGTTTAAGATATGGGTCCATGTTTTGACATAGTGTCCTTCCCATTTTGGTATATTGAAGGTCCTGTTTATGAACAGTTATTCATACTAAAGAACTTATGGTTAAATTCGTATATTTACATAAAATTTTTTTGATTTTTCTTATAAGAAAAAATAATTTCAGTTGAGATCGTTTATAACCACGCTCTTTTTAAAGATGTATCGGATATAACGGTGGTATACAAAAGTCCCGAAAAAGGAACTGCGTTTTATTGGATATCGCTTACTTCGATTATTGCTTACAGGAACTAATTTCGCCGGCCCCTTGACATTAATTAAAATTATTTCGACTGTAGTTAAAGTATTTTTAAATAAATACACCTAAGTCTGTTTTTACACGGTAGATTGGTTCCAGAAGAAGCCGTGTAAAAAAAAACCGTGTAAAAAAGACATTAAGGGAATTCCCTTAAATTAGTGCTATTCACATTTGCTTTGACCAGTAAAAATTGTTTGTATGCGCTAATGGGGAATTCACTTAAATCTTTAAGCTATTGTTCGCAAACTATCGATACTACCGATGGTTTTAGATTTTTTCTTTCATAAATACTTTTTTGTGATATGAACATACTTCGCAAAAATTAAATTTGACAAAAAATTTAAGTACGCAACATTTCAAATGTGCTAAATGGAATAAAATCGTCTAAAAAAATTAAAAAATATTCAATTTTCAAACCGTGTTATTTCAAAACCGTGTAAAAAAAGACCGTGTAAAAACAGACTTAGGTGTAGTTAATTTTTTGTATAAAAGATAACTTGACCTGTTAACTAAAAAAACATGCTACGATATTGTGACATGCAGTGACATCTTTCGTGCAATGTAGCATTTCGAGTTTTAAAAGTTTTTCGGCATCTATGAATACAAATATACGATTTTAGATTTATAAATTTATTCAAAAGATGTCGACTTGCAAATTGTTTGCAAAAGCAATACCTTCGCTGAATTTCAAAACAACAAAAATATATATGAAGCTATAAAAATATCCTAATATTATTATTCTTTTCGACGGTTGGCAATAGTGGCAGCATATTATGGTTTGTAGTTGAACTTATGCACGTCGTACGTATTTTAAACTAGATGTCACTTTCGGTTGGAACTGATACTCAAATTGAAGTTTGCTAGATGTCGCTAGTAACGAATTAATAAATAAACTAAATAATATAGGAAGATTTTGTTGAAACCCTCGTACAATATATACAATTTACTAAACATTTCAAATTTACTAAACTTCTTAAACATTTCATCGTCAATAGTTTGGCTCTCTATTTGAAACCATTGCAATATTAAATACAAATGCCATAATTTCCCTTTAAAGCCACACTATGCATAACACCATCCACAACTTCTCCACCTCTTCGAAAAAAACCCAAATTACGTCCACAATTATAATTGATTTCTCAGAAAATGAAAAAAGGCAATGTGAAACCTATGTCAACATGGGAATATATAAATTATCCTGATGAATAAGGAAACAAATATAATGTTATTCCAGGACATAACTTAACCAAAACAACAAACACAATACACACATACCTACACTGTCTATTTGCCCAGCCAATTAGTTGTTTTGAGAACAAAAAAGAAAAACAAACCACCAAATAACAGATTGCGTGCCAGCAGAGAATGTGTGCGCGCGTGTGTTTGTACGTATGTGCCAATACGTTGTGTCAGATAATGGATAAGCCAGATACACAGATATATAGACGACAACTTTTAGCAACAGTTGATGGTTATAAAAATAACTCTAGGGAAATTTGCCACTACATAAAGACATCATTAAGGCCAATGTACTCCATATTTGTACATTGGCATGGATCAAGTTACACCGAAATGTATGATTAAAGTATGGAAGAACACAATACCTCTTTGGGTTCTAGCATGATGCACTTTGTCATAACACTGCATTGTTAATTATTTTTAGCAGTTGCACCAGAAAATTTTCGAACAACTCAATAGCTAAGAAGAAGAAAAAAATAGAATTGTATAATAAAAAACTAAAATAGACTCTCTAAACTATTTTTTATAATCGAAACTAATCTATATATATTTGCTATATTATAGGACGATATACAATATTTTCCTAGTTAGAATTTTTTCACTTATTTATATCTAATTTGAAATATTAATGTTTCCAACTATTTTTATACGTTCCATCGCATTATTTCGTATTTAATAGTTTTAGCATACAAGCCACACGTATTTAGAGTATCTGTCGGCTTGCAGATGCTCCCGCACATTTGTTTGCGTACAGTGGTGTTGCATAACGTGTGACATTAGCTATATTCCCCTCTATTATGTAGTTTGTAGAGAACTTTTATGGTTTGTCTCTCAAAATGTCTGACGTTGGTAAATATAATGGCCTAAATCCTTAACGGTTTGTGCATCAATAATTGTTAATACAGAATGTTCGCAGTCGTGCGTATAATTGGAATTAATACAAAACCAAAATGAGCATAGTCAACACATTCGCACAGACATATGGGTACGTGGATGGATATAGATTCGAGGAGGTATTCACTGCTTCTTAAATATGTATGGTATGTTTGGGGAAATTTAAAAGATAATACTTATGGAGATCCACAA